CTGGCCACCATTCTGAAATTCTCAGAACTCCCCAGGCAATTGAAAAGTTCCGTTTAAAAGTTAGGTAAATAAATCTATTAAAACTAGAGCCTAAATGTCCCATGTTAAAGTGTTAGGTCTCGATGCAAGAACATAGGGATGGCAGGTCTTACCTGTGCTGTGCAGTGCAGAGACCTGGAGGTGAGCAGAGAGACACAGGGAGTTCGTCCTTGTCCATAACTTATAACTGGTGCTGATAGGGCTCATCAAGGGCGAGGCATGAACCTCGGGGCCACGTCAAGCCAGGGGAGAAGAAATAAGGGAAGCAGGTGACTGTGAGGTATGCTGAGGGAGGTAGAACCTTGGGGGCCTGCATCAGTATGTAAGGAGCCACCTAGTTCACCAATAACTTTCTAATAGAATGAATTGTTTTATAGTAGTGCAAGTGATTTATATAAGGTTGTCACTTCAATGATGTCTCCTTGGAAGACGTCAGGGAAGGGTAGAAGTCCCTGGGTCTGATGTGGTTAACTGTGGACTACACATAGATAGAGGGAGGTCTATTACCTCTGATTCACTGGCCAAGCTTGCTCTTAGCCTAACTGTGAAGTCAGAGTGGCAGTGGGTCCTGCCTACATTCCTCTGGCCTTGCTGTACAAGATGATCTGCTTTTCAAGTGAGTACAATTTCCTGCCTTCATGGGTCCTCCTCTCCTGGCAGTCCTGTCATCCTACATCAGGCCTCTAGCCCTGTGCTGGTTGCTGGGAGGTAATTAAAGATGGAAGTCAAAGCCGCTGCCCAGCAGGAGCTCAAAAGTGGAAAGGGATACTAGCTTGAAATGGGACAACTTAAGACCAAAGGCTCCATTGTAGTGTCAGTGCAGGTGGAACTGAGGCATCAGAGGGGTGACACTTGAGCTGGGCCTTGAAGGGTGAAGAGGATTAGGTTGGTGAGGAGGCTGTGGGATGACACTGCCAGCAAGGGCCCACGTGATGAAGCTAGAGAGGGCTTCTCCAGCAGGTACCCACTTGTAGCATGCTGGGAGACCAGTCACGCCTTTCACCTCAGCTGGGCAACCTCTGTTTTGGCAGCTGAGAGAGTTACATTCCCTCCAAGTCTTTAGACCCATATGGAAGGTGGATTCTCCTGCTGCTCATTCCACCTGGCTGTAATTTAGAGCTGCCAGCACAGGGGAGATGCCCACAGCTCTCTGGCCTCCTGGAATGGCTGATGTCTTTCCCTGCCATCCTAATTGAGTCAGACTTCTTGCAAGCAGATAGTTACAAGTGCATCAGGACCTTTTGTATTTGTAATTATAGACATTGTGAAAGTGTAGGGAGGAGAGGAAAGACTGTATTTCTGGAATCACAAGTGGTATTTCCTAATACAGTGATTTACACTTGTGGTTTAGATCCAGAACTCTGCCTTCAT